ATCCAAATTCACGGACTCCATGAAATCGAACTGTGGACCTCAGGCTAAGAACTCCTGCTTTAAAGTATGGGGCAGGGTTCAGAAGGTGAGAAGGCCATTCTAGACATAGAAAATAGTGAGGGTAAAGGTACAGAGGAGGAAAAACACATGGTGTACTCAGAGGACAGACTGGCACAGCTTGGCTGGAGCAGAGAGTGCTCTCAAGTACTTATAAAATGGCTGCTTAAGGAGAGTCTTGCCTTCATGTAGTCATAAATAATTGGAGCAGTGTCTTCTGAAAAAACAAAATCTGACTCACTGAATGATTTTTGTCAAGCCCTATAATTTCTATCAGCCTCAATTTCTTCATCTTTCCAGCAAAGATGAAGGTAGCCACCTCTGTCTTCTCTTGTTTGCCACTACATACTTAGCTTTGGATAAATGTCAGAAGCATAGGTTCATTAATAGGACTAAAGAGCACAGAGGTTCAGGCTCACACTTGAAGCTGACCTTCTTTGCTTAGAAACTAGGTTAAAAAAATCCACTTTCATGGATGGTTCATATAGAGTCATTGATATTACTTATTCTCTCCAACTTCCAAATATTTTCTGGCCTATAGTCAGGTTAGTCATAATGGGTCAACCACAAGGCCATAGAATCCCAAAAGCATTGCTTGTTGAGTCAATGCCACGGTGTGTCCACTGATTATCAAAAGCATCATTAGGTCAGGGAGTCACAGAATGCCAGGGCTGGTAGAGACCTTAGCCATTATTTGGCACTGCGGCATATGCGAAGACTCTTCATGACTCCATTTGGGGTTTTGTTGGCAAAGATACTGGAGTGGTTTGTCATGTCCTTTTCCAGCTCATTTTACAGATGAGGAAACCGAGGCAAACAGAATTTAAGGCCACATTTGAACTCAGGTCTTCCTGACTCCATGCCCAACACTCTATCCACTGCACCACCTAGCTGAATTATAAACAGGATAAACAATGAGTTAGAGGAAGGCATAACTAGCTTTGGGAGGGTAGGGAGAAAGGAAGTGTCATATTGAAGATGGCACTTGAGACTTGCACTAAATTGGCTATCAGAAGACCTCAGTTCAGAACCTGGCTATACCATTTATTACCTATCTGTGTGACTTAGGTCATCAAGTTCAATCCTTAATGATTATTGACTGGGTTTTCCTTGTCTGAAAAATGAGAGAGTTGAATAGAGCAGTGACCAATGCTTCATCCAATTCTAAATCTATCATCTTAGTCAAACTTCCTCATTTTACCAATGAGAAAACTGAGTGTTCTCTAAACTCAAAGCTCGGTATCTTGGGTAAATTGCTGCTATTAAAAAAATTAACACAAGTGTACACCTTTACAAATTCACTAGTGACTTTACTTCCACTTTCATTTGTCTCACTTGTAAGAGAAGTCAGCATTTATTTTTACTCTGTGATTCTATGATTTAAAGTAAGAAAAACTCACTGAAAAGGCAGCAACATAAATTTTGAATTCGAAATCCTACCCCCCCAAAATATGTGTTTTTTTTCAATGCCTCCCACCTCCTCCTTCCTTTTACCATCCCTGTGTGTTCCAGGCGAGGTTAGTCAGGATTTGTAACTGTGCAAGAATGTCAGGCAATCAAGAAAATGGTCTCTGGCCAAGGTTTCAAGGCCTTAGAAGAAATTAGGGCCTGACTAATGAGGCCTGGACTATGGGCCTAATAAGAAAGTAAATAGATTCTGTGTAGTTGTTCTGCTCCATTTTTGTTTTGTCTCCATGGAGATATATATTTGTGTTAGCATCATGGAAACAGAGAGGTATAGAGTTACAAGGGATTTTAGGTCCATCTGGGTCCTAATCCCTCATCTACCAAATGAGGAAACTGAGGCTCAGAAAGGTGAGGTGAATGGCTGAAAGTCACTGCCAACAGACATGGAAAAGTTGTCACTGGAAGCCAGGTTACCTGACTCTTAGAACAGACTTCTGCCTACTACACTACTCCAGCGAAGGACAAACAGGAAAGAAGGTAGAGAGTTTGCCGACATTCATTCCCTTTGATCTCCTGATTCCGGGAGAGTTCTAGGAACATGTTCTCCAAGATTCATAAGGGAGTCTGTTCTAACGGCCAACCTGAGACACAGCCAACCACATCAGAGAATTGCCAGACTTTGGCTGCATAGATGGTGGAGATCCATCAGATGATATGACTATAAATTAATAACTGAGATCCCACCAACTGATGGTAGAAAATTTACTTTATAGATCTACTTTGTGATTTAAAAGCAATGGTTAATACTGTTGGTCCCATAATGATAATGGGGAAATCTATTAGGGAAACACCTCTCCCCACTCTTCAAAGCTCTGCACCATCCTTTTAGAAGGGTCTGGGCCTGAGTCTGCACAGAAGCTTCTGGGACAAAAAAGTGCCAACAATGACCGTGTAGAATGATTTTCCATCTCACTTAACTCCTCGTCACTAACAAACTCAGGATGTGTAGAAACATGCCACCCATATTATGGGATATGCCATCCCATAGTACAGGATAGTAGAAGTGGAGAAAGTGAAGAGGGAAATAGTAGGCTGAGAGCATACTGCTGCAGATATGTTGTTTTTTTTTTTCCTTAGCCTGTAGACCTGCAGCCTTAGGAGGAGGTCGCTACAGCTACGAGGAGAACAGTGGCTCTACGGATAATGATTGGGTCCACTGGAAATTTTGTGTCATATAGAAAATGTTGATGTCAGAGAAAGGGTACAGAGAAACTTTTGCAAGCTCAGATTAAGGTCAAAAATAACTCTAACAAGACTCCAAATTTCTAATATGTTGCCTACACCAGTGGGCAATTTCACTATATACCCCCTAAGAGCAATTAAAATATACTCATTTGATTGGGTATTCTACCATTTGTTTATTTTTATTTTTCTGCTTCCCTCTTTTCTTCTTTTCTCTCTCCCTTCCTTATTTCTTCCTACCTTTCTTACTTTTCTCCTTTTCTCCTTCTTCTACTGCTGTGATGCACTAAAGGCCATTCCCACTTCTCCCATCTCAGATATAACAGCAGTTAAGTGGGGTGCCAAAGTGATACCCCTGAACAAGTTATGTGACATGAAGAGATTCAGGAAGAACACAAGCACAATCAATGTCTTTTTTCCCTTGTTTTCTGTATAAGGAGGGGCTGAGATTCTAAGGCTGGGCCCCAAAGTGGGGCCCAGCCCATTCTAAGACCCATTTAGACTCACTTCCCTCATTCTTTCTTACAAAGCTCCCATTGACAAATGACCTGCTTTTCATTTGACCTTGGTTTTTATCTTGCTTTTGTTGTTAGAATTCAAAGGTCAGTGATGTTCAGTTTAAAAATTCATCCATCTAATAAGTTGGATACACAAAATAAATCTTTTAATTTACAATAGCAATGAAAATTGTATAAGAATTAGCATAGCAAAGAGATATTTCTTTAATTTTTGTAAATGTTCATTTTTCCCTGAATTAAACAGGCTCCCCCTCCCCCACCAAAAAAGAGTAATGAGTATTACCATATGTAAAATAAACAAGCAAAAGAGTATTTTAAGTGAAATCACAAAATCATTTTGTATGGCTTGCTTTTTACCATATGTAATACATTTAGCATATTGCTTTCAAATCTGTCCTTCTTGGCTATGTTTCCATCTGAAGTTTCTTTTATTCTTTTCTGTGCAGTTTTAAAAATGCTTTCATAAACCTCTTTCCTTCTTTAAATTTTTTGAAAGCACTGTCAGTAACCCTCTCTCTCCACACCCCTCTCCACCTGCCCCCATAAGGAAGACACAATCTTTGAAACAAATAAGTCATGCAAAACAAATCTTCACATTTGTCATATCCAAAAATGTATGTCTCATTCTGCACCTTGGGTCTACCACCTTTCTGTCCAGAGTCCTCTGGTGTTATGGTTGGTTATTGCATTGACCAAAGCTCTTAAGTCTTTCAATACTATTTTTTTTACACTATTGGTGTTTCTATTACACATCGTTCTCCTGATTTTGTTCACTTCACTCTATATCAGTTCATATAAGCCTTTCAAGGTTTCTCTGAAATGATTCCTTTTATTATGTCTTATAATGGAATAATGTTCTATCATATACTATAATTTATTCAGCCATCCCTCTGTGAGTAGCCCTTTTGTTTCCAGGCCTTTGCTACAACAAAAAGAGCTCCTACAAATATTTTAGCACATTTGGATCTTTTTCTTTAATGTCTTTGATGTACGGGCCCAGTATCAAGACAGTTGGATCAAAGGGTATATACACCATTTAGTGATTTGGGGGCATAGATCCAAACTGCTTGCCAGATTAGTTAGATCAATTTGAAATTCTACCAACAGTGTGCCAATATGACTGTCTTCTTGAAGCCTCTCCAACAAATGTCATTTTCCATTTTTGTCATCTTTGCTGATCTGATAGGTACAAAATGGAAACTCAAAAAATGCTTAGATTTGCATTTCTCAGTAATTTGAAGCATTTTTTTTAAACATGGCTACTAATTCTTTGGATTTCTTCCTTTAAGAATTGCCAGTTTATATCCTTTGACTATATTATTCTTATAGAATTTGTCATTAAAAATATGTCATTCTTATATATTTCAACTGGTTCTTTATGTATCTTAGATATCAGACCTTGCTGTAAAGATTTTTCCCCCTGGTTAAGTGTTTCTCTTCTAATTCTAACCACATTGATTTCATTTGTGCAAAACCTTTTCAATTTTATGTAATCAGACTTGTCCGTTTTCTCTCTTATGACACTTTCTATCCCTCATCTGTTTATGCACTCTTCCCCATAGCTGTGAAAAGTAAGTTCTTATTTGCTCCTGTAATTTGTTTTGGATATAATTTTTTATAATGAGGTCATTTATCCATTTGGAACTTATTGTGATACATGGTGGGACATTTTCTTTTCATCTCTTATTGATGTGAATTGCTATATTTTTTCACACATGCAATCATGTTTATAACGAACTCCGCCATTCCATTGTTCCTTAACTTGTGCTCTCTCAGGTGCTTGGCATGTTATTTGTGTTTCACTTGGTTGTTCATATTATTGCTGTCACAATGGACCCAGCCGATCCAAATGTACGGAACAAAGAAAGCTATGGCGAGCTCATGCCTGCCTTGGACAGGAGCAAACACAAGCATGTGATTCAGAACCAGTTTTGCCACTTGTGTGAAGTCATAGTGTAAGTCATCCCGCCACAACGTCACTTCCATTGCCTTCCAGAACAAAAGTCAAGGAGGATGGCACCTTTTTCTTAGGGGCCTTCTGAAAAGACAGCACTCACCCCACCCAAAACCTCCATTGGAAGTAGAGAGAGGAAGTTTTCAAACTGGTAGACTTGATGCCTTGGGAATCTAACATGAGTATTACCATTTGTACCAGCACCTTCCAGGGGATGATGTGACAGACTGATACAGCAAATACTGGGCAAGTGGCAAGATCCAATCAGAATTGGGGGTGAGCAGTAGGAGATGTCAGAAGGTTTTATCGTGGTTTCCAGTATTTTGGGGTTCTCCATATTAAACTGAGTATTGCTATAGACAACTGAAGATCTTTCATTCAGGCTGGGAATGGGCCGTCTCTCCCCATCCTGTGACAGCTATTAGAGGCTCTTTTTTTTCAATAATTTTTTAGCACCTCTGTAAGCCTTAATACTACTCATTAGCCTTTTGTATATACAGTAACACCCTAAGGCCCTTGTGTAACATTCTTGGATCGACCACCTGATACACAATCACTATGGAGGTGACATAGTGTAGTGGAAAGAATGCCAGGATCAGAATTAGAAGACAAATTCAAATTCCAGCTCTTTCATTTACTACCTGAATGTCCTTGGTCAAGTCACTTAACCTCTCCTGGCCTCAGTTTCCTCATCTGTAAAATGAGGGTTGAATTCGGTGGTCCGTAAGGTGCCTTCTAGCTCTAAACCTATAATCCTGTTGATTATGTATTGACCAAATATTGCCTATTGGCCAAATTGTGCCACTCGTTTTTGCAAGCCAAATCACACCACCTTTTTTTTGTATATAGCCCATGAACTAAAATGATTTTTACATTTTTTAAATAAAGTTTTATTGTAAATATAAAACTTTTTTATTTAAAATGTAAAAAATCATTCTTAGCTCTTAGCAGTACAAAAACAGACTGCAGGTTGTAGTTTCCCTACTTCTGCTATAGGTTCTATGTCTGGCAATTAGGTGGTATAGTAGTATGGCACTGAACTTGGAGTCAGGAAGCCATGAATTCAAATCCTGCCTCAGACACTTACTAGCTAGCAACTTAATCTCTCTGTTTTGTCTTTAGTTTCCTTGCACCTGTAAAATGGGGATGATAATACTACCTATTTCCCGGGGTTATTATGAGGGTCAGCTGATGAAATCTATTTAAAGTTCCAAATAAATATAAGTAATGATAATGTCGCCTATGCCTATTCGTGTATCCTGACCCTTACCACAGAACCTTTGTTATGTTTCTAAAAATCTTGATCAACAATTTCCATTGCTACAGCTGGAGAAGTTGGATACCTCCTTCTGACAGCTAGTAAAGGTGCCAGAAAGTGCACTGCCTTTGGAGTCAGAGGCCTTGGCCAAGTCAACTTAACCTTTGAGTGTGACTCTCTGCCTCCTAGGTCATATTCAGGGAAGCCCTTTGCTTTCTAATGAGTAGATAGGGTTTTTGATAGTTCTAATTGGAAGCACCATAAAATCAAGCAGTTCACATCACAAGTTAGTTGAAAGAACAGTAGTGTTTTGGCATGGCAATATTTTGGCTATACTTACAAAGGATTTGAACATCAGGAAAGGAAGTGAACCTGTCAGGTCACTTGGTTTATATTTCTGCTATGCAGTTTTCCATTAGGTGTCTTTATTAGTGGTAATTAGTCTTTGCAAATAAAAGTTAATATCTTTAGGTTTATAAGGTGTACTAGCCTAGCCTTAATCACTGAAAGGGTGTTGCCTCAAACAAACTGAGACCTGGAAAAGACCTTAGCTTGAAAAGGCTAAGGTCTCCCACTGCATGTGGGGCCATCTCCAGTTGTCCTTATCTACATCTTGCCACTGGACCCAGATGGCCCTGGAAGAGAAAATGAGGCTGGTGACTTTGCATAGCCCTCCCTCGCTGAAATCCAATTCACTTGCAAGTCATGACATCACCTTCCCCATGTCATGGTCCTCTTCAAGAACGCAGGACAAACAACAAAGGAGGTAGGGCAAATGTCATCAGTTCTATTTTACAGATGAGGACAGTGAGGCCCAGATCACTTAAGGGACTTTTCCAGGCCAGCTACTTAACTAATCTATAGCTAGTAAGTGTCAGAACTAGGAATACATTTGACCTGACCTTGAATTGCTAGATAAATATGAACTGATACTCAAATGGGGATAATAATACTGGCACTGCCTTCCTTCGGGGTCATTGTGAGGAAAAAGCAATGGTGTTTTGGTAAGGTGCTGGGTAAGCAATTTTCCTCTTCTCCAGCAGAAGATTAGATTAGGTTCATGCTGGGCCTCCCTTATTAAGGGAAAAAAAAATGTGCCAATCAGGTGTGGCAGTATAGATACACCTGTAACCCCTGCTTTTGGGGAGGCTGGGGCTAATACTTAAGAATTCTGAGGGGCAGTAGGACTAAAGCCAATTAGGGGTCATTACCAAGTCTGGCAACAATATTCTGAGGTCTGGAAGAAGGGAGATAGGGCAGGTACTGGGTTACCTGAGGAGTGGTAACATGTACTAGGTCAGAGCTTCCATATTGATCAGGAGTAGAATGAGGCCTTTGAGGAGCCACTGGCCTTTCAACCTTGGAGATAATGGGAGGCCCAGCCTCAAAACTTTTGTTTTTTAAGGGGCTACAACTTAACTAAGGGACCCTTAAGGGGAAGCTAGGTGGCTCAGTGGATAGAGTGCTGGGCCTGGAGTCATCTTCCTCAGTTCAAATCTGCCCACAGACACTTACTAACTATGTGACCTCGGGCTAGTCACTTAACCCTGTTTGCCCCAGTTTCCTCATCTGTCAAATTAGCAGGAGAAGGAAATGGCAAATCACTCCAGTACGTTTACCAAGAAAACCCCAGATGGGATCATGGAGAGTCAGAAACAACTGAACAGAAACTGATCCTTAGCCAGTAGTTGCTCCATAGTCTTCTGTGAACTACTTAGCCTGGGAGTTTTTTAATAAAATGGGGCAGATGGTGGGGGAAGGGAGGAGAGACATCCTTTGGAAACTTTCTTCTTTAGCTGTTAATATGAGGTGATTTTTTTTCACTAGTTATTACCAGGAATGTGTGCAAGAGTATGGTAGAGTTGATCGACAACACCCCCATCTCTCCTTTTCCTTTCACCAGGGGGATGAAAGCCAAGCACTGCAGTGTCTGCAATAAGTGTATCGCTGACTTTGACCACCATTGCAAATGGCTCAACAACTGTGTGGGAAGTAGGAATTACTGGTAAGGGATGATTGTCAAGTTGGGGAGATGTGTGTGAGTGCCTAGAGGCAGCTAAAGGAATGCCATACCGAAGACCAGAACCTGGTGTTCTTACCACCACAAGCTCTAAGCTCTGAGGCCCTGCTGGATTCCTGGGGTTTGTTCTGTAATTTGATTTGGGGTGGAGTCAGGTTTGAGCACCTCCTGTTGAGCTCATTAGTGTCCATTGTCTTCGGATCTTGTGATATTAAAGAACCATGGACTCAGTTGATTCCATTTTACATAAGGAAAGTTCTCCCCTTACCCTTTGTGTCCTGAAGGGTTATGCCTTTCATGACTGAAACAAGAATGAGAAATTTTACTTCAGCCTTGGATTAATGTACCCATTATATCTACTTCCTCTGAAATGTCTGTTTATCTCTAAACTAAAGGTTTTTCATGTCGTTTTATACTGTTTCCAGAATGTCTATTTATCTGTAACTCAAATGTTTTTAGACTCTTCAGTCAGAAATAGTGAAATACCTTTCAACAAACATTTATTGAAGTACCTACTGTGTATAGGGCCAATAATATTAAAGTAACTGACTTAGGGGGGAAGTCTTTGAAATGGAAGCCCTCGAATTCATAGGACTTGGTTTGAGGGGGAGGGGGCAGTACTGGCTCCTCTAGGCCTTTCCCTGGGGGTAAGGGCCAAAGGCTAATTCACCCAGCTGTGCTAGCATGTCTAGTTTATACTCTCGTGTACCCAGGATTGAAGAACCAAAGGTTGAAGGAAAAAAGGGAATTATCCAGCATCGGAGCCAACTAGCAATTTTCAGGGTGTGTCTTTGTCTCCACCACACCCAAACAACCTGATGGGAAATGAAAAAACTCACTCAAGTGGAAGACTTTGCCTTGATGAAGATGAAGATACGGTGCAGTTTGCTAAGTGCCAGTGGGTCCTTACTAGTAACCAGTCCAGGATAAACAAGAAGCTTATTAAGCTTTTGAGTTTCTACACAAATGACCAAAATGATGTCAGAGAAAAAAACATGACTTTTGATTCTGCTGATCCTGTAGTTACTATGCCAGGCTTGGTCCCAGAAATGGGGGAGGAGGAGAAGAGAGAGAAGAAAATTGTCCTTGTTGATTTCTAGGCACATTTCTATAACTCCATGTAACTATAATGGTTGACAAAATGTCTCTCAGTGCAATGCTTCTCAGAAAAGTACTAGGGGCACTTGGCTTATTTTACTTTTTATAATCAATATACACTATAGCACAAATGCAAGAATGATACCATTGAACAATGACATGATAGAAGGAAATGGGGCAAGTGGATTTGTAATAAGGACACCTATACTTAATGTATCCAGACTATCCTCAGGGTGATTGCCCGTCTCCTTCCAGATTCTAACCCTCTTTGCCTGAGTTGCCCACCTTTTAAAGCTACAATAGCCTAAAAATTATTCCCTATGTGTCTGACCTGGTGGCAAGACTTTCCAAATTTAGCTAGACTAGTCCTGAAACAACAGACATTTCTGAGCCTATAATTAAAATGGTTCAGGCTTGGTAGGATTTGCCGGAGTTTGCCTTCCACTGGTATAGCTTTCAAGAACCCAAAGTAGTGAAGTGACAGGATCGAAATTTTAAGAGCTAGAATAGGTCTTTGATCATCTTGGTCAACTTCCTCACTCTACAGATAAGGAAAGGAAGGTTTCCTTTCCAAAAAGTTAAGTGACTTGCCTAAGGTCATACAATTAACAATGAAGACAAGAATAGAGCCCGAGGGTTCCTGACTCCTGATAGTACTTTCAAAGACATTTTCCAAAGTCCCTGGTCGATACATGATTTGTTTAGGAACTATCTGATACAATTAATTCATTGATATATGTTCAGTGTGTACCTACTATATGGAAGGCACTTCACTAGTCACTGTTAGGAATGACAAGATTAAAAACAATCCCATAATCCCTGATCTCAATGAGCATACTGTGTAGTAAAATCTCTAAGACCTACATAAATGACTATAGAGACTAGACCTGTCCTTTCATTGTGACAGGGAATTCTTAAATGAGGAAACTCCCTCTACCAGTGCAGGTTGGCACCTTTGCAACTAATAACCTTAGAGTAGCTACTTGTCCGGAGTCATCAATACAATGTATGTAAAAGGTGGAATTTGAAACTTGGTTTCCTGGCTCTGAGGCCAGCTCTTTATGCCATACTGTGCCTAAACAACTACAATTCAAAGCAGAATGTGATAAAGTCCATAAGCAAAAGCATGAGCACAAGTGCCTTGGGGACAGAAAAGAGAAAGGAGAATGAATGAATGAAACTATTTTGATGTGTAATTATTCCACAATAATATTGCAATGGGGGAGCAAAGTGAGTTTAAAATTTTCAAGTGAGAGAAGAGAGTTTCACAGCTATTATTGATACAGAATAATATTTTACCTAGAGAATATACTTTTCTCAAAAGAAGTTGATTCAGTAGCATTGCACACCTTACTAACAGGACTCTGGTTCTAGAAATCCACATACCAGAGAATGAAAGAAGGGTGGAGAGAAGTCCTTGAGGGGAGGGACCATATCTTATCTCCCATTTGCTATAGCATTGTACAATTCATTGTACATAGCAGATGTCAATAAATCTTTTCTGAATGAATGATAAAGGAACAAGGAAAAGAAATGGTATATCACTGTTGGAGTTTACTTTAGACTGTCTAACCATATGAAGAATATGAAATAGGCTTTCCCAATATGTATCACAGCTGCCCTAGAAGCAAGGGTTTTTTTTTTATGAGACATTAAGTACACTGATGCCTCCTCTAACTCTAATTCTGCTAAAATTGGAACATCTGGCAAATTCTCAGTTTGTCTTGTTGAACATTTTATCTCTCAGAAAGTAGAGGGGTAAAAAAGGGAATTGTTTAATGTAACCAATAAATGAAAACTGGCTGTGAGTGTAGAAATACCAACCCTAGGAGAAACTGATGATGTCACCTTGGATTCTATCATATCAAAGAAAGGAAACACAGAGACTCATGTCCACTAAATGCAAGACACTCTGCTAGGTCCCTTGGAGGATACAATGACATGGTCCTGAACCTCAAGAAGTTTCCTCTCTAGTGACATGGAAAAAGACATGCACACAAATACAATACCAAACAGAGGGATTAAAAGAAGGAAAGATTATATCTGGTATGAGGGAAGGCTTTATGGAAGATATAGTATTCGAGTGAGGTCTTAAAACATGAGAAGTGGAATCAACAAAAACGTGGGAAGGGGGCATTCTAGATTCTATGATAGTTGCAAAAGTAAAAAATAACACGATGAATTCCAATTTGGCTAGACTGTCAAGTATGCGTAAAGGAGTATTTTGAGATAAAACTGAAAAAGTAGGTTGGAACCTGACTGAAGGTCCTGACTGCCAAAATAAGGACTTGTGTTTTTTTTTTTTTGAGTGGAGAGATGATATGATCAGAACTCCTCATTAGGAAGATTAATCTGGCAGGTGTGTTTAGGATGGATTAGAAAGTGAAATACTGGGACTGGATGAAATCAGTTAGGAGGCTTTACCAATAGTTGAACCCTGGACCTTGAGTCAGGAAAACCTGACTTCAAATCTAGCCTCAGGCACTTACTAGCTTTGTAGCCCTGGGCAATCACATGATCTCTGTTTGCCTCAATTTACTCATCTTCAAAATGTAAATAATAGTGGCATCTACCTCCCAGGGTTCTTGGGAGGCTCAGTTGAGTTAACATTTGTAAAATACTTTGCAAAGTTTAAAGTGTTATATAAAGGTCCAAAGAAGAAGTAATGACTAGAATTAGGATGATGATAGGGGGTATCAAAAGTGAAACTGGATGTGAAAAATATTGTGAAGTTTGATGAGGTGGATGTGTGGAGGGCAAGGGGGAGGGAAGGGAAAAAAAATGACTCAAGCATGGGAAACTGGTTGAACCATCAACATCAATAAGGAAATTAGGAATGTGAGGCAGTTTGGGTTAAAAGATGATGCATTCAGTTTGGGGTATTTTGAACTTGAGGCAGTAGTAGAATGTCCAAGTGAAAATGGCAAGGTGACGGTTAGAAATATTGGTCTGTAGCTCAGTAAAGAGATTGAGGATAAAGATAAAGCTTTGGGAGTCACTTACATAAAGGTCATAATTGAAGCAATTAAGTGAACCAAGGATGGAACCTTTGGAAAGAGCGACATTTAAGGGGAGAGGGGAAAATGAGAAGACAGAGTGTTGGTGATCAGAAAGGTAGAAATCACTTGAATGCAAAGTGACAAAAGTGAAGGAAGGGGAGAAGCATTTTACAATGTTGACTAAATAAAGTTGTTGTTGATTATTAAATACTGAAGGCAGATCAAGGTAAATGAAGATTGTATTTAGGCCATTATATTTGGTGATCCTGTCTTTCATTGACAGACTTCTAGAAAGTAGTTGATTATCAGTACATCTGTCTTCATTACACAGTGCCTCTTCAATTCCTTGCAAACATTTGGCTTTCTGTCTGTAACACATGAATCAAAGGTCAAATGATCTTGGAGCACAGTATCTTGAAATAGCGGCAAATTAAGTCACATACTTAGCATAGTGACTGACACACAGTAGGCACTTACTAAATGTTTATTGACTGACAAGATATTTGGAAGATTTCACTGTGTTTGTAAAAAAGAGGAAAAGAGCTGATAGAGTGAGAGCTTGAAGACACTATTAATAGCTGACATTTCTACAGCACTTTAAAGTTTGTAAAACACTATGTATAGACATCATTTGACATTTATAGCAATCTTGTAAGATTCATATTCTCAAATGGATCTGTGAACTCACCCACTCTGGACCCTCCAACTGGATAGATTTTTGGATTTTTTTGGTCCAGACCAGTAAATTTGTTGATGCAGAGAGCTCCCTAGTAACTCCCTATATCAGTGCAGTTTAGCAACCATTATGCAATTTATAGTCTTAAAGAGTGGCCCGGGGCACCTGGAAATTAAATGCTAATATCCATGGTTTAATCTAACTTAAATCTT